GCACCAGAAGCAGTCTCCAAATTAGAAATCAACTATTATACAGCAATTGACCATCATATAGTCTAGTATCTATTCACTGCCTTGTTGTCAATACCCAGTCCACGCAACTTCCGGTTGTCCCAATTTTGTGGAAGGATTTAAAAATTGCCGTGTGGTGCTTACGTAACGCCATTACTAACAAACATTTTTATATTATTTATCTATCTGCAAAAGAATTTTACTAGTGGAATTAATCATTTTTCAAGTTGTTAATTGTTTCGCAATATTATCCACTGTCACCCCCTGCAGACGTCTTTGCTTTAGCACGCTCTTCAAGGGTCAAACGCCGCATACAGTGGAATACATTTTCTGATTTTTTCGATCAAACACAACGAAGACACACACAAAGAAAACAGTACAATTTATTCCTTAAAAAATAAATTTTTATAGGCATGATTTTCATTTTTTCTATGAAATGCTTACGTTTCAGTTAACATTATATTACAGTTATCATTCAAGACATTTAAACGCCTCGTTTTCTATTAAAGTACACTTATTATATACCATCTACATCAATAACAACTTTTTAAAAGTAAAATATTTATTTCCTTTGTTGGTGCGTTATGAATTATTTTATCTAGTATGGTTATTGTTTGTTGAAAGAAAATTCCTGAGAGTGATAGACGTCACAATACGTCATGAAATTGCTAGCGCTGATTAATGATGTTTCAATCGTCAAAGGGTTTCGGTACTTTTGTGTAAAAGAGGAAGTGAATTTGATACGATGAGAAAGCTTATGTTTATTTAATAAAAGTATTAATTTGTTTTGTTTCGGTATTATAAACAATTCATTGCATGAATGTACGTTTGGGAAACATGAAGATTAAATATGAATAAATCTTCACATTTCCTTCACTTTCATGCAAGAAATGTATGATAGCCTGGTTTAAGTCACAAAATTGATGATAAGTGATGTAATATATGAAAGTGAATTTGAAAGCGGTGCTGAATTTGAAAGTTTATGTTTATTTCAAAGGTTTTGCTTGTTTCGGTATAATAAACAATTCATTGCATGAATGTTTGGAAAACATGAAGATTTATTCAGCCAAGAAATATCATATTACCCTCGGGCGAAGCCCTCGGGGAATATGATTTTTCTTGGCTAAATAAATCTTCCTATTATACCTTTGAAATTTGTTCTTATTCAAATGTATATAGAAAAAAGTCTAACATTTCTAATGTTTTGCTGAGCGGCCATAAAGAATTCGATGTTTGACCGCTGATTGATATATCGGACCCAGTCGATGAGATGTTGGACCGCTTAATTATGTCACAGAATGGGCGGAGCATATTCTCGTTTGCATCAGTGACAGACCTGAGATTTACATCACGGAAGACTGTAAAAGATACATGTGTGTAAAAAATATAAAAATAAAAGATTTGATAAAACATTTATTGACTGTATTCTCGGGCAAAATGTGTTTTGTCGACCCTCAAACCAAACTGTATGCCTTCGACCTAACGACTTCAGGCAGACAGTTTGGTTCTTGAGTCGACAAAAAGCATGTTGCCCTCGAATTCAGTCAATAAATGTATAATATTTCCATCACTTTCATGCGATAAATATATATTATTATATCTCATTGGTTCTAGATTATCACGTGATCGGACCAAGAAACTTTATATTTCACGCTCGTCGGCATGCTTTTCATCATATTCCACCTCTTCGAATACCTAGTGCATTTCCCCCCAATATAGTTATCGTTCGTTGAAAGGAATTTAAACTCCTTTGAGTAGTGGACGTCACAATAGCCTAGTTTACGTCAAAAAATCGCTGATTAGTGATGTGTCAAAGGGTTCCAGTAACTTTACCTTAAAAGTGAAGTGAATTTGAGCGATGCCGAATTTGAAAGTTTATTTTTATATGCAATAAAAGTTTTTGCTTGTTTTAGTATAATAAACAATCCATTGCATGAATTTCGGGAAACATGAATATCATTCAACCAAGAAATTTCATTTATGATTTTTCTTGGCTGTATAAATATTCATGTTTCCCTCACTATCAGGCAATAAATGTATAATGGTCTTAGCCTTTTTATATTTTACAACCTACGTACCTTTTTTTTACAGCAGATAAATAATAAGTTTCTCCTACTATATTTCTCAAATATTAATGAGCCCATCTCGTGAAATGAGTTCACTGTTTTGAAAATTACTAGTGTGTCCATTTGTATGTAATTAGTCCTGTCATGCTTCAATTAATTAATTAATCCACTCCAACTCACGAAAACTCATTTTGGACCGAAAATTTAAAAACAATTATCCACTGGCAATATTATTTCATAAATATGATAAATTCTGTGAAATTACGCTAGGTGATGGGCCAGACATGATAAGAAGACTAGATTTAATGTATCATATGATGATTAAGATCTCGCATTGGGCAAATGAGGGACAAAATGACAACCATCTAATCCTTCTGTATTCAATAATTCGAATGCGAAAAAGGAAATTATTTTTCAAAATTTAAATTTAAATCGAATTTTAATTGACAATATTGATTTGGTTTTTTATACCAGGTCTTCCAAGAATTCCCATGAGTACCAATTGCGCCCCATTTAAAGCAAACTTACTTTTGTATTTACACAAAGAAAAAAACATGTGGCCCACAACTCTATATATAGATACTATATACACGGAAATTTCCGCCCTTTTCGACCTCGGAGGAAGTGGGTGAATTGAAAACAGGGCAAATTTAAAATAAATAGTTTAATGTCTTAAACAAAAATCTTTCCAGTCAAATTTAAATGGAGCAAACTTGTTTCCAAATGTGAAAGGGGGAAAATAACTCGGGGCAAAAATAACCCTGTATACAGTACATCGACGACATATTATCAATTTACAACAGCTATTTCTATAAGTTGTTGACAAGATATATTCCACTAAGTTTGAAAAAAAAATATGTCAGACAGTCTGTTACATTTGTATCGTATTTGGATATTTCTATCTTCAACTTTACTTATGTACATGTATATCTCTACTGTGAATTGCAGGCTAAAATTCTTAGAATATTTTTATTTTGCATATTTGAACGATTTTTATATAATCTTTATTGGCCTAAACATACTTCTTATAGAATTTAGTAAATATAAAAAACATCAGAAGTAAGTACTGTAGCATGGTTAAATAAACATTAATTTTGAAGTATAAAATCTTAGATTGTAACAAAAGGAATACTAATACATGTATACAGTTTCGCCATATACATTAGGAAGAAAATGACTGACACATTCACGTACTTCAAAAGCATGTTAGAGGTAAATACCTTAAATGCAAAATTCCGTCATATTTTTTTTTTCACTGAGCAACTATATTTACTTGAAAACTGCTAATGACAGCAATTTACCTTCAAATGCAGGTGTCATTGCTTCATTTCTATATAGAAATTTTTGCACATTATTTGTCAAAACACATTAACAAAATTATTTCCTTAAGCTATAAACAATTGATATACAATGTTTATGCTAACGTCGTGGTTAATTATGATTGTGCTTATTAAAATATTGCAAAGTTAATTTGTTTGTATTATATAATTCATATATTTCAAAAAATGGTGCAGATCATGTTTTACCTAATTAAAAAAAAGGTTTCATACATTGCATTATGATAGAGTGCATGACATGACAAGATCATAGAATGCTGTCATTAATGTATATGACATTAACCCCTAATGAATCCGGAAATGTTTTATAAGTATCATTGTTTTATTAATTTATAAGAATGAAAAAAAATATCGAGAAGTATTAAAAACATCATTATATATCTCAGATTTGTGTTCCAGAAGAATAATTTTAATTCAATAGAAGAATTATTTTGAAACATATTTCCTCGTTTTTAAGCTTCTAGTGACAATGTTACTGTTTTTTATATATATAATTTTTTAGAAAAATATTGAAAAAAATAATGAATTTTGATATTAAAATGCATAACTTAGCAATCTTTTTTTTCGATTTGGAAGCGTTTTGGAAAATGGAATGACTGGCATCACTGCATTGAGAAGCCTTTATATTTCGAAATTATACTTTGTCGGGATGGGGTATAGCGGGAATATCTTTTTCGAAGCAAACTCATTGCCCTTAATCTCTTCTGAAGATCTAGTGTAGATCTTTTTCAAAACTAAATTTAACTCTTTGTCATCTTTGAAAAGTCAACGCTTTTTAATGTACACTTACAATAACTTTCAGGAAGAAAGTGGAAGATAACGATCAGTAAACAAGAACAAAAGATTCATAAATCATTCATTATAACGAAATAAAATTGGAGCATGGCAAACACGACCCCAAAAACGTTACAGGTATAGCAGGTGCCATGGAGGAGAAAGCATCCCCTGTCAACCGGATACACCAACCGTGTGATCCCTGTCATGATCGGGCAAAAGAAAAAAAAATCAGTAGATACTTTAGTAAGTAAATAAAGGCCATACAATTTGTCGACAAGTACTGGCATTGGTGATAAAATGAATGGTGAAGGCATTGTTTCGACCATAGAAATTGCAAAATGTTGCCTGAAGACTGTCGGTATGCTTACTTCTCCATGGTACCTGATTCCACATGCATCTATTTGTATTGTTTCAATAGACGTTTGATCTTCATTAATGTTCTTTATTGCAATATTTCTTTCATCAACTTGCTTGTAAATAGCTAACCTTCCTTTTTTTTTTTTTTAGAAATTGTTAGTATGTAGAGCTTGTTCTTGCGTATCGAATGAACTGGGAGGCATAAACTGTACAGTATATGCCTGTATATAATAAGAGTATTTACCATGATCCAGATTGATATTGACTTATTTTCTGTTTATTAAAGCTTTCTTGTAACAGATTTGTGAAGTTAACACCAATAAACTAGTACCATTTGAGGGCTAGATACTTTTAATTTAAATTAAAAGTCAACAATTTCATTTTTTTGTTTTATTCATATATTTAATTGAATATTCAAATAATTAACAATTGTATAAAAACACAAAATAACAAGAGGTAGAAGAGAACAAAAATAAGTTAATAAATCAGCACACGAAGAGCTCTCATTGATTTACATCGCAGAACGATGTTTCATCTTGGGCTTCGTTCCAGAGGAAATTTCTTGATACCTCTACACGATGGAGTCCAGATTTCCCGCGCTGAATGGGACGTCGCGTCCCGTGGGCCATCAGTGGGATGTGGGTTATATCCTCCATCAGCTGTAACATCAGGTAAGCCTGCAAATAGAGATTACAATGGCTCTCAATGACCATATAATCAAATTAAAATGATATATAGGTCTTTAGATGATCGTTCATAAAGGACATATATAGGTCACCAATGTACATGATGCATGGGGCTGATGCAAAAACTTCGTCAATCATTTACGTATTATTAGCAATCATATTATGCACAAAGATCAGAAGAGGGATCTTAAAAGGTCCAAACGAAACTCCCATCAACTGTTTTACGAAGATCTGTAATCACCTTTCTGGATATTTTTATTGGACACCTCATAACAATCCACTGGACTGTCTCATAACATGGCGGTGCGGTCAGAGAGCCCGAGTACGTGTAATAATTCCAGCTGTATGGCAGAATGTCTCTGGGGGTGATGTTCTCCAAAATCCTTGTAAACCTTTTAGCATCTGTAGAAACAAAATAAATTCATAATTTGTTAAGAACCTTCCACCTGAAAATTGTCAGTGTCAAAACATCAATATTTCCTGAAAAGAGAGTTTACCTGGCGCAGTTTTTGGCTTGTATTCATGAATTTTCTGGTAATATTTCTCCATAAGATGACTGAGCTCGTGAGCATATCTTACTCGGCAGACTTTTGGAAGCGAACAGAAATTATTTGGTGTTTGATTGGCCTGGACGAAGTCGTTCCGTCGACATTTTTTCAGTCCACTGCACTGCTGGTCTCCGGTACAGCGAGCAATACCAGAGGCACGACAGACGAGGCCCTCTCCAAACTTGTCAGAACACATGTGGTTCTTGGTTGCTTTGCAGATAAGATCTTTCGATCCTTTACAGAAACATTTTTCTTTTCGACAGTTGAGATCTAACGGAGCACAGGGACAAGCCTGATTTATGCTTTCCTGAAAATAAGTGAAAGTACACCAATGTTTTTTCATTCTTCTAAATATGTTGCTTTTTTTATTTTCATTCTTATTGTTTTGACAAAAAATGACTCGATAGAGTTACTCTTCACCGAACATGATTTTAAATATTTTTGCCCAAAAATTATATTATAGATTAAAGTTAAATATATTTTAAATCTAAGCTAAGTGTCGATAAATTACCATATCTCGAGGTTCCAAAGACACGCTGTCTACATTTTCTGTCTCATCAGCAGCAACCTATAAAAAAATATTTTTCTAATTATAGGATAAGATTATTTTCTTGACAGTTTCCTTTTCGCAGAAAAGTTAACAGTAAAGGTGAAGTTAGTATTGCGTAATAATTTGATAGCTCTTCTTACTACCATAACTTGCTTGAAATTTCAGAGAAATAACATTCTAAAAGTAAATCATTATATGCATTTTACTGCACCCCAAATAGCAGTCTCTCCTTAAACTGACAAAACTACAATCCAGATGTAAACCCTGGCACCATTTTCAGAAGACCCATACACTGTTTACTAGTACTCACCTGGACTTGGACGGCGATAACCGTCATTCCATTTGTCTTGGATTGAGCCTCCATCGCGTCCTTGAAATGTTCATTGTAAAACACAGCATGTATCTGATAGTGTAGAAAAGTAATGATGTTTTAATTGTTTTATGTGGAATTCAGAAGGAAGTCTTCATTATAAACATCAATTGCATTGGGAATTCACCAAGTTTGTCATTATTTTAATTATTTATTTTCAGTGAACATATTTGCATAACAACTCTGTAAAAGTCTGCATTGAATATATCTTTAAAACTGAATTGGAATTTCTGTTGGCGCCTCATGGTCAGTAAATATGTAAGTACGTAGAATCTATCGTGATGTGTGGTTATTTAACATATATGAGAACGAAGCAGATATTTTTAGTACTTATGTTAGAATGTCAAGCTCCTTCTGAAATATATTCAAAGGAATTAATGTGCTTAAAATTCGACACAATCCTCAAATAACTTATATTCTGCAATTAAAAACAAACTATTACCTCTATAGGTGTGAAGTTATTGTCAATGGAGTGTTCAGATCCGGCCGATTCCAGGACGCCAGTATGGACGTGGATTTCCTTGAATATGAACTTGTCGTGACCTTGACCCGGGACATTGAATAACTTTATGTTCTTATTAGTAGTTTCAAACTCGGGATGATGACCTGAAACCAGAATTAAAAATACAAAAATACTTAATTTTAAAAATTATTTTGAATGTTTATTTTATTTTTTTAAGATATGCAAAATTAAATTGAAATTGTATTGGTAACGCATACAACAAGGATATAGAGATAACGAACAGTATTCAATTTTTTTTTAATCAAATTAATGCGAAACTTAAGAATATGAGGCATCAGCAATGTTAGATAAAATATTGGGCGTGTTTAATCTTGTAAAGTGAATTTTATTTGGGTTGGTGACAATTTTAATTAACGAATATTACGATAAAATTTAATCACAAAAACGACAAATAACATATAATTATGATGTAAATATACGTGGCTGTCACTTAAAATAAAGACTTCTACACTGACAGGTTTTTGGTTTCATAATTATTTAATAATTAATATCTTCCGGAAAGGGATACGAGGTCGTACAAAGTTGTATCAATATTTATAGTTATAAAATAATTTTCTTGTCAGTTTAATATCAACTGGAAATAGTTAACATTTTTGAATCCTAACTAGATCTTCTATAAAAAAAAAAACTATCTTATAAAAGATATACTTTGTAATTTTTCATAAATTTTTGCATTAAAAAATACTTATATTGGCATTATTTACAGCGGGATAAATATTGACTTATGTTTGATTGAGATTGTCCTTTTCAGTTTGGTTGATCTTGTTTGTTTGATTTGTTTGATGTTTTTCTTTTTCTTTTTTTCTTTTTTTTTCTTTTAAAAAAGAGGGAAAGAAATATGATTTAAAATTGAAGCTGAACATACTGTAGACGTACTTTTTTACACGGGGTCATAATTCCGCGGAATCTCAATTTCTGTTTAATCCGCGGGTAGAAAATTACGCTGATTTCTCAGACTGTCACTATTTGCCTTACATTTATTTAAAAATTGATAAAGCGGAAAATTTGTGAACATAGCACAAAACAATTAAACGTGCTAACTATTCTATAATTTTATATTAAATTCTAGTGTTTGTAAGATGATAGCTTTTGTTTTATAAAATGCATATAACTAATTTGTATAAAATTTTAATTTTTGTGGAAAATATAGATCGCCAAAGTCCTAGAGATTCATTTTCGTCAAAGTTCCTCACCATTGTTGGTGGCCTTTCCTTTGACTCTCTTACACAGGTTATGGAAGCCCAGTTTGTGTATCGGCATATAGACAGTATCCAGGGTGTTGATGTTGATAGGAGACTGTCTCAGATTCCAGAAAGTTGTACAGTTCCCCCAGGAAGGTGAAATTTGGTTCCAGTGAGAAGGAGCTGTCTTTCAAAGAGGTACAAATAAAAATTACATCTGGTAAAACTAAGGTGTCAAAAAAATTCAACAGATGTATGAAACATATGGAGATAACGAACAGTGTTCAAAGTCAAAAGTCCATAAAACAAAACAAAGCAAGAGCAGAGCAAACACGGGCCTCCAAAACATCAGAGGTGGGATCAGGTGTCTTGGAGGATTGAGCATCCCCTGCCGACCGGTAAAGTATTTAAACTAGTATACCAGAAGTTGAAACAATTATTGAAATCATGAGGAATCACACTATAGCAATCCTTTGATTAGCATAAGCCAGTAAGAGGACTTACACAAGCAGGTCTTGGGATCGTAGTTATACTTGGCTTTCTGCGGATTAGGCTCAAAGCATTTTGTAACCGTACAGGACACATGGGTTATCACTAGAGCAGCTAGTGTTACAAACAAACACATTCTATACTCCATGGTTTTCCAAAATCAGCCTTAATGTTGGAGCTTTAGGGGAACACAGAAGAGGTTACTGCCAAGCCAGCCTATGTATATACCTGACAGAAAGCCGTGAACCTTGGGGGTAATTAACATGTTGTAATGATTGCTTTGTCATAAATGCATTAAACACTTAAAAGTATGTACAATTGATCGGGGTCATCTGCGTAAATAATAAAATTAATTGCACGACCAAAACTACGAGAGGAAACATATGCAAATTTGTAATTTTACTGTCTGTATTGTGAATTTTAATGGCATTGAGTGTTTGTACAACTAAGTCACAGACATGGTCGTGTCAGATGACATATCTTATGGTCTACTTATATTTTGACAGCAATATCATTTTTATCAAAGGAATGATATCAATTAAAATTACTCAGAACACTTCTTTTAATTTCCTTAATAAATCTGTCTATCCATTTCAGCTCGATCTCTCCCTATTCTAATTATTGTTTTTTCTCTTCTTATCTTCTTATATCATCTTAAAAGATCGACATCGTTGTAGAAAAAACAACATTTCATGAAAATATAAGTTCGTGCATATTTTTTCCGGATGAGAAAACTAAAACGTATTGATTATTGAGGATGCTTATCTGTGCCAAAATGATGCTGATTCTTTCGAAAAATTATGTAAATTTATTTCTAATATTAATGGCATTGTGTGTTCTCCTTAGTTATCACCATCTCCTTGACCCACTGTATTATATGTATATATGTTTCATATGTTTTTGCATTTACATGATTTTGAGTGAATAAATTGAATTGAATAGCGTCACGAGTACTCCCGTTCCTTCAAAACACCAAAATATCATACACTCTTCTTTCATATATTAAATAAAAATTAAGAAATATGACTGCTATTTGGCCATAGAATAGTGTTTTCACAAACACTTATACTAGTACATGACAAAAAATAACATTGGCATTTAATTTTTCGGTGTTTGATTTTGATTGTTCTGTTTTGAGTTATATTTTTCAAACATTTATTAATAATTTAAGGCTTTTTTTCCCTTGAGGATAGGTCGATACTTCAAGGATAGAAAACTACAGTCCGTGAAGAAAAAAACAAGACAAGTAAGACTGATTTATTATTTTGTTTTCCCAGGAGTACTGCAGCTGTTTACAGCACAGTCTTTCTTGGTCATTGCACTCTTATTGGATGCTTCATAAAAAAAAGCAGCTGCATATTCTGACCTGAAGTACGCACACTTGGTTTGTGTAAACGAAAATGTGCTTGGTTCTCCTCAGCTGGGGAAGGGACTAAAGTAAGAACACCAAAGCAAAACAATTCTGAATCATCAATTTTTAGGTTCTCTGACTTAAATATAGGTGAAGGAGAAATTGTACCTAAATTGAACCGTGCAGGTGCTCGATCCTTCATTAACTAGACGTAAGGTACACATATTCTGAATTCTTGATAATCATGGGATATGCATACTTTTGAGATAGGAAGTAATTTGAATTCTCCTATCAATAAAACAAGTATAGACCATTAACGAGTGTCAATCACAAAATCATTTTGATAGATGTTATGAATGAACTTATATGGAACGACTATGACGTCTGTTTCTGTCAATGCACTCATGTATAAAGATTAATAAAACATATGGAGATAACGAACTGTATTCAAGATCAAAAGTCTATGAAATAATACAAAATAGGAGCAGAGCAAACATTTATTAATTTACTTTATGGAAAAGAACAATTTAATAAGATGAAATAAGGATAAACCGAACAGTATTCAAGCTCGAAGTCCATGAAACATCATGTGTCATAAACCTTTCCATCGTCAATTTCCTTATTATTGTAGTAATGTTCCACTTTCACCTGCTTATGACGTTTATGTCTACCAACTTATTCGTTACTCAAGAGCTTGCGCTGAGTCAAATAAATTTTAAGGTGAGGCAAGCTACTCACTGACAAGTTGATGTTACAGGGATTTTAAGAACCTCGTTTAAATTCGGCAATTCATTGAGTTTAATTTATGGTCGTTATAATGACCTTGATAACAATGTACTCAATGATAGGGTCGTAATTTGCCTGACTTGTTTCATTGTTAGGCCTTTGTTTTTATACTGAATTTGACTACGGAAAGTTCCATCCACCTGATTACTACATAGGGCTCACGGCGGGTGTTACCTGTCAACAAGGGGATGCTTACTCCTGCTATGCACCTGATCCCCCTTTAATGCCATTTCCACATAATTGTATTGTTTATAGATTTTTTTAACGATCGATCGCTGTGAGTTATCTTTACCTTTACATGTTGGCAGATATTGTTTTGAACTTGCTTTCTGTTTACCTAACGTGGCGTCAGGCATTCTTATGTCTTATGACGTAAGCAGAGGACCACTGTATATCTGTATGTGCTTGGTAATATAAGTTTTCTACATCTCCGTCTTATTTGATTTCTTTGATTAATTTATCATACGATCCATTAAAAGATATTACAGGGGAAAACGTACATTGTGCGTTGAAAAGTTTTTTTTTATAAAGTATACTTTGTAACAGTAACTTGAGTAAGGGTCTTCATTATACTTCTTTATGAAATAACAATATTTGAAAGATGAAGATTACGTTATTTAGAAATATTTCTCACGATTGCCAACAAATTAAACAAAACATAATTTCCTGACTTATAGTAGATCACATGCCAGTACATTTCAAAATACTTTGCCTTCAGTTTAAAAGAATTTGCTACTCGATAAGACTTTTAATTAAAAAAAAATATTAATGTGCTGCAAAACATACATGTACCATGATACGCATTACTTTTAAATATGCATGTATTTGTATTTTGTAACCACTTGCTTAGATATAAGTTCATTCCAAGGGAAAAATTTTTAAAACTATAGATCCCTATTGTTGCTGTTCAGTGGAATATATAGAATACAATATACTTTCAATTTCTTATATATTTATATCATCAATTTGGATTTCACTGAGATTTTTCCGTACAAGAACAAGGTACAATTCCATAAGAGATATTTAAATTTGTCATTCAAAGACAATAAACAGGCCTGACAAATTTGACAGGCAGAAATACTGCACATAATTTAATATGTCCAAAATGCGAATGTACAATGCGAGGATGCATAGTTTTGATTTTAGCGAAACAGTTTATTTACTTTTCCTTTGCTTTGTATAAGAACAAATATAATGACATGATAATCTTGTATTTCCTTTATATTATTAAATATTTATCGTATAAATATCGTTAAAATACGTTTTTTTTTAAATATATAAATGTTTAATGTAGGCTGAATTACAGCAACTGTCTTGCATTTATAAGTAATAATTCTCTTATGTGAAAACAAGACAGGATTCGGTGAATTGTGGGTAAATAATTTTCATGTTGTTTTGTCAATAATGAAATTTTATTCTTGTTAAACTTAAAATGTATTTACACTTTATAATAATATGAAAAAGAACAACTTTTCAATGTGAAAATCGTTTATTTCTCTTAAACATAACATTTCAGTATTCAAAATGCCACATTATGGTATATCATAGTATTACTAAAATGAACATTTAGGTTAATAAAAAATAATTTAACAGCATTGATAAGCTGGAAAATACACACAATATGTCATTGCAGATATCAAACCTTTAATATATGATGGGAGAGTGAATTCTGGGTAACGGTACCAGTGTGAATTGATGACGCAACAACAAATGGAATTATGAGAGGTATAAAAAGTGATTAATCTTCAAACTTATCAATTTTGGGGGGTAAAAATACAAATCAAAATACAATCTGATTTTTCAGATTAATTTGATTCAGCTTAAAACTGTTATGATAAATTGCAAACAAGCAAGGAAAACAACTCGTCATCACAAACATTGAAAAAGTAACGCTAAAATCATTTAAACACACACACATACATACACAAACATTCTCTTAACACATATTTTTTATAACAAGAAAAAACGCCAGCTTTGAAGAGGAGTTTTGTTAAAAGACAAATTATTTATCTTTATTTTTTCCTTACTGCTAGTCGTGGCACTTATCAACTTTTAAGATAATAAAAATATTCAAATAAGTCAGCTTCCGAATATTTTGACTGTCACATTGCAGGAAAAAATGGAATCCCCGGGATCTGGAGAAACTGACTGGCGAAGCACAAGAGAAACTTGGCAATGAGGCGGTAAATGACTGAGGCGGTGAATGTCTGAGGCGGTGTATGTCTAAGGCGTCGGTGTCTGAGGCGGTGTATGTCTGAGGCGTCGGTGTCTGAGGCGGTCGGCGGACTAACTATGCCAGGCCACCTTTTTATCCTTATCTTTCTCGTCTTTACCTTTCTTGTTGTCCTTGGCTCGCCCCCGTCGACCTCTAGCCGCCCTCTGGGATTCTTCCTCCTCCCTCATGGCTTTCAGCTTCCGGCGTTTTTCGTAAGTATATACACCAATAAAGCAACCGACAAACATAGCTACACCTAAACCTACACCGAGACCCATATAGGCACCTTTTTCTGAAAGAATACAATATACAGTTTGAAAAATAAAAGTTTTTTTTCTTTCTTAAAGAAAGAGATACATGTACATTGTATATGTATATCGATTTATTTTGACGAGCACGAAGCATAAAAATATTGTTTAGCTATAACCATTTTTTTATTTCAACGTGACACTAATTTCTACATTCATTTCTAGGAAACTAATCAGATGATTTACCCATTGAAATGCCGTCACAATTCTGTTCATCGCAGTCCACTTCACAACCACAGTCGTTGAAACCATCACACCGGTACGACCTTGTTATACATCGTTTGTTTGAGCAGGAAAACTGGTGAGATTTACATTCTGTTGAAAATGAAAAAAGAAAAATAGAGAACTGATAAGTTTCGATGTTCTATCAACCGCCATAAAATACGATTTAAACACATTTGGGATTCTAGTTTTCTCTTTAAGTCCTTAATTAAATTCTTTATTTTAAAGAAAATGATTTTTTTATCAACTTGTTGCATATTAAATCCGCCTACCATTGGTTTAGAAGTTGACGTCTCTGTTTATCATAGGTACATGTACTTACTTGGTACAGGATCTGTGACACTGCTATAGTCAGCACCTGGATAAAAAAGTAATGAGTTTTTATATGTATTAATAAATGATTGATTAAAGATATTCAACGCCGAGTCGGCAATATTTTAGCCATATTTCGGCGGTAAATATATATTGAAATGAAAAAAATATTAAAATACAAGGGCAACATTGCAAAATAAACTTACCACCCTCTGATGGGGTTAATGTATCTCAGTTGATTCGAAAAGCAAGAGCATATATATATATGAACAATTTCTAAAACGGCAAGCTATGGACTAGCAAGTTGATGAAACAAGGATATTAATCGTTCCGTTTGAAATCACCATTTTGCAAGTATTACGATCGATACAATAAACATGTCAGCAAATACAATCTATAATTAAGTCAAACGATGACTAAAATTTTTCGTGCTAATTTTTTATTTACACACTAAATTATCTGCGGATTTTCTGTTTTTCTTTGATCATGACACTACCCGGTGGATGTATCCAGTAGGCAGGGGATCCGTACTCCTCAAGGGCACCTGGTCCCATCTCTGGTATTTTTGGAGGTCCGTGTTTGCTCTGATCCTGATTTGTTTTGTTGGATCTTGAGATTGAATATTGTTTGTTTTCAGCATATTTCATCCTACACTGTAAATAATGCTGTTTAGCTCGACAGATTGCTGAGTAAGGTGTCATGATCAAGAATATCTTTGCTTGCTAGATGACTAGGTATTAAAAGGCAATAATACCTTGTATGTAATGTCCTTCTCAAATTATAATAACATTATGAAATGAAAAAGGGTAAAGAAAACGAACAATGATCGCTCTCAGAAAATTTCACACAATACGAATCTGTGAACAGGGCATAAACACAGACGCCTGAAAATTCCAGAAGTGGGATCAGCTAGGAGTAGTAACTATCCCCTTTTGATCGGTCACACCCGCCGTGAGCCCTATGTAATTATCAAGTAGACAAGAATGATGTTTTTGGAGTATTTACTAGGGATGTCAAAATTGTCAATAATTGATATTCGAATATTCGATAGAAGTATTCGAATATATTCGAATATTCGATAAAATAAATACATCTTGCATTATTAAATACATATCTTCATTCTCCCGTCGAGGTGTGTAGATTTTATGCCATTATTTTGGAATAAAAACTCATGTAGAGTTCAGTAAATGCACTGCTATTTTATATATATTTTTTAATTATTGAAAATATGAAAAGTATGCATCCAAAATGTAATGATTGGGTTTTTTTTTAATTCATAAGATTCTTTAGTGTGTTCCAGATTAATTGATCTTCTTACTAAAGTCTACACTGATAGCTCCTAAAAATTTATACCAAGCAGAACAATTATCTAACGGTGAAATATTAATACAATTACTTTTTGCTAATTAATTTCCTGAAAATGATTTTTAAGGATATTTATATAAACAAGGGATCCATGTGTTTACTGTAAAACTGTTCTTTACAACAATACAAGCTGATTGTAAGTATTGGACACTATTATACCACTAATTAAGTGAACAAATAAATAAATTACTCCAATTGATACGCTTTTCACACCTTTAAGGTAATTATAGAGCAGTGTTTTTTTTTTTTTTTTTTTGTACAAACTTGATTCAATTTCTAATAAAACTTGCCAGGTTTTTCTCTCTTTTTAATGCTTGTATACTTAAAAACGAATATTCGAATCATAAATTTATATTCGAATATCAACTCATCGAATGAATATTCGAATATTCGAATATTCGTTGACATCCCTAGTATTTACCTGTAATAACAAATGTCAAGGTGGTTTATTTAAGCATTTACCTGTATATGCAGTTGTCAGGGTGGCGGTGAGACCCTGTGTTGTGTCAGCACCATCAGCTTTGAACTGTATGTACATCCATCTTGCTGATGAATTTTTATTTACGTTTGTTTGGTCATCACAGGTATTTAAGATTCCAGTGGCAGAAGCAGACCCATCTGTTATCTTAAAGAGAAGTGTTAATGGTTTCAACAGAGCTAAAATTGTCATTAATTAGAAAGACATTAGTATAATATTGAGTAGATAAAATACTAGTTTACAATAATGAATTTACACCACAATGCAAGAGAATGCAGTTAATTAAAGAACATGTTTAAGTAAACTAAAAAAATATTACCACTTAAATTAGTACACCTGTAAATATATAAACGTTAAATTAAGAAAAAAATAATTATGCAGGTAAAACTTACAAATAAGTAATCCTCGCAGGACCCAGTGGAAGACTTTTCACCCTTAAAAGTGAGGACTATATTGACCACGTATTTATCAGGTGTTTTTACGACCCATATACAATTTGTATAGGCACCGTACGTACTGCCTGAGGCTATAGACCGTGTCTCTCCAGCCGTCAGCTCAATGTAACCCCCACATCCTGTAGTAGAGAGAAAATGGTCCAGTTCTGGTGTTCTAGCACATATATTTTGTAAATTAAATTAGATACATGGAGAATTTTAAAGCGTTTAGTATTTCTTATATGACAATTTACTAAAAATATCTACTCGTATCTCTTTGATGGTTTTATTCGTGCAGTGAAGCAATTTTTAAGATTATTCTTAGTTTAAGATATTATATATCTGTTATCTGGTAGAATTTTAACATAATTTTACTCATTTTCATTCATTGTTCTTGGGAAATAGAAAAATTATATTTCATACAAAATACAAAAAATTGATATTTCTGAATAAAATATGATTTTATGAGCATAACGAATGAACTTTCTTTGCCTTTATAAAAAATCTTTTTCCCTTCAAATTCCATTATATAACATAAATGATGAATAATTTGTAGATTTACATATAATTACATCAACATACCTGCTTTGACATTTGACAAGCACTCAAACAATGCACCTGTAAAACAAGTTATACAATTTTAATGAGTAAAATTGCTCGTAAAAATTTAATGATCCAATAAAGTCAATAATCCAGTGATTTCCAAAAAAATCACAGCAGTGAAAACAATATTTATGAGAAAACACCAACAACATAGTGAAACCTTGTGTTTAAAATTAAGTTTCTACAGAGAAAACATTTTTGAAAAGACAGCATAATAAAGCCTCAATTTGAATTTGAATTATTTTTAAAAAGAGAAAACATTGAAATTTGTCATAAAGATCCCTGCTTCTTTTCTTCCGGCCGGAAAATTTAAGCTAAACATGCGCATTACATGTATGCATTATATTAGCTGCATCTATAAACAGTAAAAATATGAAATAAGTTAATACAAATGGTTGACAATTGACGGACATAAGTTATTTGAAATGAAGCAACATTTTTATGATATCTCAGCCAAAGAATAATGGTCACGTGACGGATCTAAGCCATTGTTAAAAGTATGTTTTCTGAAAGAATTTTACATCATCTTAATCTACATAACAAATTGAGTTACTGCATGGGGAGTAAACAACATTTGTATCATAAAAGCAAGTTTTAAAACATGACAGTACTTATGTATCTATTTATTGTTATAAGTACACACACAATGAATAAAATGCAACAAAAATAAGTTTCATCATTCTTTTCAATCCTGACCCTTTATTTTAAAAATAGTAGAACTATTTTTTCAGGCTCTTTATAGCAATTAAACCAAAATAAAGACTCCTACCATTGAGGAAGATGTCTAAAGCGGGCTGAAAACATTGTACAAAGTACTAGTATTTAAACTTTCCTTAGAGACGATCAGGTATGTTTTTATTCAAAGTCAACAGTATCAAATTTTAGAAAGTCAATTTAAACAATATTAATTTGGACCAGAGTAGATACAGATCTATAAATCATCAGAGGTTGGATCAGAGCAGATACAGACTTATAAATCATCAGAGGTTGGACCAGAGTAGATACAGATCTATAAATCATCAGAGTAGATACAGATCTATAAATCATCAGAGGTTGGACCAGAGTTGGACCAGAGTAGATACAGATCTATAAATCATCAGAGCAGATACAGATCTATAAATCATCAGAGTAGATACAGATCTATAAATCATCAGAGCAGATACAGACTTATAAATCATCAGAGGTTGGACCAGAGTAGATACAGATCTATAAATCATCAGAGTAGATACAGATCTATAAATCATCAGAGTAGATACAGATCTATAAATCATCAGAGTAGATACAGATCTATAAATCATCAGAGTAGATACAGATCTATAAATCATCAGAGGTTGGATCAGAGCAGATACAGATCTATAAATCATCAGAGTAGATACAGATCTATAAATCATCAGAGCAGATACAGACTTATAAATCATCAGAGGTTGGACCAGAGTAGATACAGACCTATAAATCATCAGAGGTTGGATCAGAGTAGATACAGACCTATAAATCATCAGAGTAGATACAGATCTATAAATCATCAGAGTAGATACAGACCTATAAATCATCAGAGCAGATACAGATCTATAAATCATCAGAGGTTGGACCAGAGTAGATACAGATCTATAAATCATCAGAGTAGATACAGACCTATAAATCATCAGAGGTTGGATCAGAGTAGATACAGATCTATAAATCATCAGAGTAGATTCAGATCTATAAATCATCAGAGGTTGGAGCAGAGTAGATACAGACTTATAAATCATCAGAGGTTGGATCAGAGTAGATACAGACCTATAAATCATCAGAGGTTGGACCAGAGTAGATACAGACCTATAAATCATCAGAGTAGATACAGATCTATAAATCATCAGAGGTTGGACCAGAGTAGATTCAGATCTATAAATCATCAGAGGTTGGATCAGAGTAGATACAGACCTATAAATCATCAGAGGTTGGATCAGAGTAGATACAGATCTATAAATCATCAGAGGTTGGATCAGAGTAGATACAGATCTATAAAACATCAGAGTAGATACAGACCTATAAATCATCAGAGTAGATACAGATCTATAAATCATCAGAGTAGATACAGATCTATAAATCATCAGAGTAGATTCAGATCTATAAATCATCAGAGGTTGGAGCAGAGTAGATACAGACTTATAAATCATCAGAGGTTGGATCAGAGTAGATACAGACCTATAAATCATCAGAGGTTGGACCAGAGTAGATACAGACCTATAAATCATCAGAGTAGATACAGATCTATAAATCATCAGAGGTTGGACCAGAGTAGATTCAGATCTATAAATCATCAGAGGTTGGATCAGAGTAGATACAGACCTATAAATCATCAGAGGTTGGATCAGAGTAGATACAGATCTATAAATCATCAGAGGTTGGATCAGAGTAGATACAGACCTATAAAACATCAGAGTAGATACAGACCTATAAATCATCAGAGTAGATACAGATCTATAAATCATCAGAGGTTGGATCAGAGTAGATACAGACCTATAAATCATCAGAGGTTGGAGAAGAGTAGATACAGACTTATAAATCATCAGAGGTTGGAGCAGAGTAGATACAGACCTATAAATCATCAGAGGTTGGATCAGAGTAGATACAGACCTATAAATCATCAGAGGTTGGATCAGAGTAGATACAGATCTATAAATCATCAGAGTAGATACAGACCTATAAAACATCAGAGTAGATACAGACCTATAAATCATCAGAGTAGATACAGACCTATAAATCATCAGAGGTTGGATCAGAGTAGATACAGATCTATAAATCATCAGAGTAGATACAGACCTATAAATCATCAGAGTAGATACAGACTTATAAATCATCAGAGGTTGGATCAGAGTAGATACAGACCTATAAAACATCAGAGTAGATACAGACCTATAAATCATCAGAGTAGATACAGACTTATAAATCATCAGAGGTTGGATCAGAGTAGATACAGACCTATAAAACATCAGAGTAGATACAGACCTATAAAACATCAGAGTAGATACAGACCTATAAATCATCAGAGTAGATACAGACTTATAAATCATCAGAGGTTGGATCAGAGTAGATACAGATCTATAAATCATCAGAGTAGATACAGACCTATAAATCATCAGAGGTTGGAGCAGAGTAGATACAGACCTATAAATACAGACAGACTTATAAATCATCAGAGGTTGGATCAGAGTAGATACAGATCTATAAATCATCAGAGTAGATACAGATCTATAAATCATCAGAGGTTGGAGCAGAGTAGATACAGACCTATAAATCATCAGAGGTTGGATCAGAGTAGATACAGATCTATAAATCATCAGAGGTTGGATCAGAGTAGATACAGACCTATAAATCATCAGAGTAGATACAGACCTATAAATCATCAGAGTAGATACAGACCTATAAATCATCAGAGGTTGGATCAGAGTAGATACAGACCTATAAATCATCAGAGGTTGGATCAGAGTAGATACAGACCTATAAATCATCAGAGTAGATACAGATCTATAAATCATCAGAGTAGATACAGACTTATAAATCATCAGAGGTTGGATCAGAGTAGATACAGATCTATAAATCATCAGAGTAGATACAGACTTATAAATCATCAGAGGTTGGATCAGAGTAGATACAGATCTATAAATCATCAGAGTAGATACAGATCTATAAATCATCAGAGGTTGGATCAGAGTAGATACAGATCTATAAATCATCAGAGGTTGGATCAGAGTAGATACAGACCTATAAATCATCAGAGTAGATACAGATCTATAAATCATCAGAGGTTGGATCAGAGTAGATACAGACCTATAAATCATCAGAGTAGATACAGACCTATAAATCATCAGAGGTTGGACCAGAGTAGATACAGACCTATAAATCATCAGAGTAGATACAGACCTATAAATCATCAGAGTAGATACAGACCTATAAATCATCAGAGGTTGGACCAGAGTAGATACAGATCTATAAATCATCAGAGGTTGGATCAGAGTAGATACAGACCTATAAATCATCAGAGTAGATACAGACCTATAAATCATCAGAGTAGATACAGACTTATAAATCATCAGAGTAGATACAGACCTATAAATCATCAGAGGTTGGACCAGAGTAGATACAGATCTATAAATCATCAGAGTAGATACAGACCTATAAATCATCAGAGTAGATACAGACTTATAAATCATCAGAGTAGATACAGATCTATAAATCATCAGAGGTTGGATCAGAGTAGATACAGACCTATAAATCATCAGAGTAGATACAGACCTATAAATCATCAGAGTAGATACAGACCTATAAATCATCAGAGTAGATACAGACCTATAAATCATCAGAGGTTGGACCAGAGTAGATACAGATCTATAAATCATCAGAGGTTGGATCAGAGTAGATACAGATCTATAAATCATCAGAGGTTGGATCAGAGTAGATACAGACCTATAAATCATCAGAGTAGATACAGACCTATAAATCATCAGAGTAGATACAGACCTATAAATCATCAGAGGTTGGATCAGAGTAGATACAGACCTATAAATCATCAGAGTAGATACAGATCTATAAATCATCAGAGGTTGGATCAGAGTAGATACAGACCTATAAAACATCAGAGTAGATACAGACCTATAAATCATCAGAGTAGATACAGATCTATAAATCATCAGAGGTTGGATCAGAGTAGATACAGATCTATAAATCATCAGAGTAGATACAGATCTATAAATCATCAGAGTAGATACAGATCTATAAATCATCAGAGTAGATACAGACCTATAAATCATCAGAGGTTGGATCAGAGTAGATACAGATCTATAAATCATCAGAGGTTGGACCAGAGTAGATACAGATCTATAAATCATCAGAGTAGATACAGACTTATAAATCATCAGAGGTTGGACCAGAGTAGATACAGACCTATAAATCATCAGAGGTTGGACCAGAGTAGATACAGATCTATAAATCATCAGAGTAGATACAGACTTATAAATCATCAGAGGTTGGACCAG